GAAGATGTCATGACTGTATTTGAATAAATGTAGACTGTTGTGCATAAAAAAACCCCTGAAAATAAGCCCTAATGTGTTTTTAGAGGAAAAATTATTATAAGACCCTGTCTTATTTTCAGTTAAAGACGGTATGTTGTAAATCAGTAGTCCCCAGCCTTTTTGACACCACGGACCAGTTGGGGGGACAGAGTCTGTGCATGGGGGCGCAGGGTTTCAATGCATTCCAATGGGGAAACTGATTTCGCTAAACAGCGATTTTCCCAGAATGGATTGTCGTCGTCATGCGGGGCACCACTGTATTTTTGTGTAGCAGCAACAATAATGTTCCAGATGATGACAGAACTGCTGGATAGCTCGGTGGTTTAGCTCTTTGGCTGCAATGTCAGAGGTTGGGAGTTCATTCCCCACTGCGCCTCCTTGACAGGGCTGGACTTGATGATCCGCAGGGCCCCTTCCACCTCTGCAATTCTACAGTTATGATAACTGATAACTTTTAGTTCCCCAAAATGCTGTATTATGCCATGGCTGATGACATCATCCAAATTGTGCAGTGTAACAAAAGCAACAGGATTCTGGCTAGTGTTAAAAATAAAAATAATATACATTTTTATTTTTATCAATAAACTTTTGATTCTCCACAAAGTGACATCAATATGTCTATATAAAAGATTAACATACAGTAGAAGTAAAGAGGACCTGGCGTGCTCTGGTCCATGGGGTCACAAAGAGTCAGACATGATTTAATGACTAAACAACAAGAATAACAAGAGTCTCTCTTAGTATTTGATATATGAAGAACTTAAAACATAAGAGCCTTGCTGGATCAGGCCAACGGCCCATCTAGTCCAGCTTCCTATATCTCACAGTGGTCCCACCAGATGCCTCAGAGACCACACGAGACAACTAGATATCACTCACCTGCAGCTGGCATTTTGAAGTACCATCCTTTTAAGCCTAGAGATTACACATCCCCAACATGGCTTGTAACCTGTGATGGACTTTTCCTCCAGGAATCTGGCCAGTCCCCTTATAAAGCCATCTAGGCCAGATGCCATCACCACATCATGTGGCAAGGAGTTCCACAAACAACATGTTGGGTAAATAAATCTTTTCTTTTGTGTTCTTACTCTCCCAATACTCAATTGGAGAGGATGTCCCTTGGTTCTGGTATAGCGTGAGTGGCAAAAAAGCTTCCCTCTATCCACTTTATCCATCCCCTGCATAATTTTATACATTTCAATCATGTCCCCCCCCCGGGTCCTTTTCTCTAGACCAAAGAGCCTTTGCTGTAGCCTTTCCTCATAAGGGAGGTGCCCCAGCCCAGTCATCATTTTAGTCACTCTATTCTGCGCCTTTTTTCACTATGTCTTTTTTTGAGGTGCAGTGACCAGAACTGTACATAATACTCCAGTCTAACTCTGGAAGCCCAGGTGGACTCAGTGGCCGGGGCACCTTCCTTCAGCTGCGGAAATTGTACCAGCTACACCCTACCTGGACGAGTGGAGTCTCAGGGCAGTTACACACGCACTGGTAACATCTTGCATAGATTACTGCAATGTGCTCTACGTGGGGCTGCCTTTGAAGACGGTCCAGTGACTGCAACTGGTCCAGAATCGAGCTGCATGGCTGGTGAGTGATGATGCCGCTAGGGAACACATCCAGCCAATCCTGTTTAAATTACAGTGGCGCCTCGCTTAGCAATCGCTCTGGTGAGCGACGAAATCGCTTAACGATGGAGTTTTTGCGATTGCAAAAGTGATCGCTTTGCGATGGTCCCTATGGGGTTTTTTCGCTTTGCGATGATCGAGGGGAAGCAATCATGGCAAAGTGACCCTTTTTTAACAGCTGATTGGCGGTTTCAAAATGGCTGACGGGAAAACAAAATGGCCACCCGCTGTGTTTCCTCGCTTTAGAGGCACCGAAAATGGCCGACCCTATGGAGGATCTTCACTTAAAGGTTAGTTTTTAGCACATAAGAACACATTAATCACATTTTAATGCATTTCTATGGGCTTTTTAATATTGCTTAGCGATGAAATCGCTTAGCAATGTTTTTTTCCGGAGCGGATTAACGTCGCTAAGCGAGGCACCACTGTATATTGGCTACCAGTTGCTGTCCGATCCCAATTCAAAATGTTTGTTTTGACATATAAAGCCCTAAACGGCTTGGGCCCTGGATACCTGAAGGACCGCCTCCTTCCATATGAACCTACCCGACGGTTGAGATCTAGCCACGGGGCCCTTTTGAAACAGCCCTCCTTCAAGTAGGTAAGAGGGATGGCTTGTAGAAAAAGGGGCTTTTCGGCAGCTATCCCCAGACTATGGAACACCCTCCCGAGGGAGATTCATCTGGGACCAACGCTGATGACATTGCAGCACCAGGTCAAAATCTTCCTGTTCCAGAAGGCTTTTAATTGAAATAATATCAACTGTGGGTCCTGATGGCAATTTTAGAGTACATATTTTAATTGTATTATCTTTTTAATTGTATTTTAATTGTTGTAAGCCACCCAGAGACCTTTGGGTAGTGTGAGCGGCATATAAGTTAAATACAGTGGTGCCTCGCATAGCGATGATAATACGTGCAGCAAAAATCGCTGCAAAGCGATTTCGTCACTATGCAAAATAAAAAAGCCCATAGGAATGCATTAAAACCTGTTTAATGCGTTCCTATGGGCTAAAAACTTACCTTTAAGCGAAAATGCTCCATATGGCGGCCATTTTGGGTGCCCAGTAAGCGAGGAATCCGTCCCTAAACACAGCGGGTGGCCATGTTTTTTACCCGGTGGCCATTTTGGACCCGCCGATCAGCTGTTTTAAAATCATCATTTTGCGATGATCAGTAAGGGAGGCAGGGTACCGATCATCGCAAAGCGAAAAAACCCCATTCAGACCATCGCAAAGCGATCGCAAAATCCTCATCGCTATGTGATTTCGTCATTAAACGGGACGCCCGTTAAGCGAGGCACCACTGTAAATAAATAAACTATATCTTAACTGTACTTGTTCATCCCCCTGGTACCCCTAGACATGCAGACAGTTCAAAAAAATTTAATATATTAATATATATATATATATAGAAAGATACTATAACATTTTTATTAAAATTTTAAAAACATACTTCTCAATGGAATTAAGAGGTTTCAGGGAGCAGATCATCATCAGGAACTTCCATAACTCACAAGAAGCAATTCTCTTAAGTGGCAACATGGACATTTATCACACTGCTTGGTCTGCTCTGGTGACAGGCTGGTTCTCTCCTTTTGCATGTGACCAGGCGAAATAAGTGCCAGCATAAACCAGCCCATTCTCAAAGCATTCTTGCCTGCACCTTTCTGGTTCCCTGTCAGAGGCTACCCTATTTTGGTGTGGGCAGGATGATTTCATTTTGGTTCATTTTCAGTAAATGTAATTGGTGGGATTGAACCAAAGTAAGGTTTGCTGTTCTCAATTTCCCAATATTGTTAAGTGACTTAAACACACTTTAAAGCCACTTAAGAATACTGGGAAATTAAAAACTTTCCCTACTCTTTTGTGGAAGCAAAGGATTTTTAAGTCTATTAGGCAGCACTCAGACATTGTATCTTTTAAGAAAAAAATAAAAGCACTCTCTCAGGAGGAAACAGAATGGGGCAAGAAGAGGAACTTTTCTTTTTTGTTCTCTTTTTTCTTCAAAGGGAGATAAACTAAATAGGCTTGCCTTAGGTGTATATGCCAAGCCTACACAAGGTTTAAACCGCACAGCATACCTGACCGCTAAGCAATCTTAAGCAACCCTGTTTAGCCCCCTCCCCTTGGTCATCTAACCAAGCTGCAGCCAGCCTTTTCTTTTCAGAAAATAAGACATCTCCCACTTTGCCTCTTCATTTGAAATGCACTATTAGGTGTAATGTCGTATCTGTACATCTACTAGTACTTCATTGAGTCTGCACTCTCCATCCTGAGACTATCTACAGATCTCATGTCTACATCAAGCATGATATTCAGGGTGTCCTGACTCCATCCTAGCCTCTTAAACGTTTATCACCTAGTCTGAAGAAGAATTTTAGATAACTTTTAAATCTGTGGCATTTGAGGTGATCTGAATGGCAGTAATGAAAAACTACAGTTTTTCCATAACTGTATGGAAAACACAGTTGGATACAATGGAAAACTCCATAAACCAATATACTTGGCTCTGATTTGGGAAAAGGCATAAAGCAGATACAAAGCCTTATATTTCTATATGTACAGTAGTACTATAATCAGATCCAATTCTTGCTAATAAACCATCAGCCATTATTACTGATTGCAAAACTGATTTTAACTGTTCCAAACACCTTTCAAACATTACAATCACACACAAAAAAACTATTTCAGGAGTTACATCCTTTTCATTGACTACATCAGGGATATCACTCATATCAAACATCATCAAAACCAACATAGCAAAAAGCATACATTAAAAAAACTGTATAGAAGTGCAAAGAGAGCATTGAAGAGATTCCTAAATAAGTGGTAGAACCAGCCTTTTTACACAATTCAGACACACCTAGAGAGATTTTTTTTAAAAAAAATCAAAACATGCTTCACTTTTTTTCTTACTCGTAATATACTACCGTTGGGACTAAAGAAGAGCAGCGTGTGAAGCCCTAATCCGTGGTAAGTGACCTTGAGTGAGCACCATGCTGGATTCCTGTCCAACGGCAGTCAAGGGAGCAGCGATAGCTCGGCTCAAAACCTGGAAGCCCCAAAAGAAGCAGCGCCAGAGAAAGAGGCTCCGGACCCGAAGGCACGTGTTTTGCCATCAGGAACAGAAAAGAGAGGTTAACATCGAAGAGGATGCCGACGATTACTAGGATGTACCTCAGGCGTTAAAAAAAGAAAGAAAGAAAAAAGGCAGAACCTGGCTGCTGGGCATTGGGTTGGCCTCGGAGGGTGGAACGGAGCCAAGGGTGGGCAAAGGCCCCCCACGGAAGAAGCCGAGCCAACGGCTTGCTCAAGGAAAAGGGCGGACTCACCTGCCCAGGCGCCCAGGTGCGGGCCCACGGCCCCGGGGTTGCCCAGCACCCACATGCGGACGACGTACACGAGATACGAAACCGCTACATACAAGAAGTAGCCCACGCTCAGCAGTCCGACCCAATAGAAAAGACCCGAGAAGGACGAGAAAAAGGATGCGGAGGCCGCCATGATTGCTGCTGCTGCCGCGGCTCAGAGAGTTCACAGCAACGAGGGCGACGACCAAAGCAGGACTGAGCCCTCTAGGCTCCCACCAAACCTACCCCCGCAGCGCAGCCCCACCCCCCGGGCCGCAGCCATTGGCTAATTCAACCCGACGCGCGATTCCCCATTGGGCGTTTTGCGGCGCACCGGATGTTCAAGGGCGGGGAGGCCCCCTCGTAGGAAGAGGGCGCCTCTTGTCATTTGCTTCGGTCCCCTTGACGAATCGGCTTCTCTCCCTTCTAGGGTTTCCTCCGGGCGCACATGTTTGGGCAAACACCCTAGGTGGGGGAAAGCTCCTATTGGCTGACGGCGTCGCCATTCATGGCGGAGGTCCGCGCTCTGCCTGCGTGGTGGCCTGAGAATTCAAGCTGAGGGGCCGGAGAGTTTCAGGAGGCTCTAGTCTAGCGTGTGGCGGCGTCTTAACGCGGGATGGGCTGCCTTCGCTCGGGGCGAGGCTCGTGGGCTCGGCTTGGCTTCTTTTGTCATGGGAGGAAGCTGATAAGGCTGCTGTTTAGCCACAGACCCGTTTGCACAGCGAAATCCACCACCGTTTCTCTCCCCCCCCCCGCCAAATCCCACAAGAGAGAATTGCAGGGAAGTCTAGAAGGGAGAAGGAAATGAAAACGAGGCGGTGAGAGAGGTGTCGGAGCCCTTGACCATCAAAGCATCCTAGCAAGCCCTGACTTCACTCAGAGGAATGAACGAACTTCAAGGGATAGCGACGGGGATAGCGATGGGGCCCAGAGTTAGACCCCATATGATATTTCTAGCGAAGAGATTCTAGACTTTGTAGTTTAAAAAAAAGTAATTTGGTTCATCTTTTGGTTGGTTCATCTGCTCATGCAGAGCAATTTTACAAAAAGTTCATGGCTCTTAATTGCCCAGTCAAGAACAAAACGTGCAATTGCTTTATATTACAAAACATGTCCTTTGCAGCAATGCAACACTCATTGTAAGATCTACCCCCTCATCTACTGTCAGGGTTGCAACTAAACCCATAGGGAGAAAGGTGAAGTGGGAAGAAAGGGCAAATAACATCATAATCCGTGTTGCTCAGAGAGTCCCTAAGCTTAACATCTGTGAGTTTAGGCTCTACTTCTCATTACTCTAGAAACAAGCCATGACAGGCTTGCCAAGCTTTTACATGTTTCAGGAGAGGGGGAGGGGTGATTGTACATAATCCGGTGTGTACACATGATAGCGTGCAATGCATGGTACCCACCCAAATTGCTTGCATATAAATTCTGCTGTAGCTTATAATTAGTATTATACTATCTGAGATAACATTTTTTTGAGATCTCACCAACCTTTCTTTCATAATTGGAAGAACTACCATAGGCTTCGAATGGGACTGTGCAGATCTGCTGCATTAGAACATTTAACATAGAGATACCAAGAATTAGGGATTTTCCTTCAGCAACTGAGAAATGCATGTTCTTCATGCATTTATGATAAGATTTTAACATAAGAATCAGTGCAATTTTAACTGTTTGTTAACTTTAAATGGTTTGTGATTATATGGAATTAAATTTGGTGTTCAATAGCGTGCAGCCTGATTGGAGTGTTGAAATACCGGACTAGAGTCTGCATTCAAATTCATGTTCAACCACAAGGTCACTGTATATCTTCGAATGAGTCATTGTATGTTACAGTAGCTGAACTGACTCTGGATAGTTCCCTTGAGAATAATCAAAGCAGAAGAACTATGTATGTAACCTTGAATTCCTTGGAGAAGGAGCAAGAAAAAATGTAAGAAATTCTATAGGCCAGAATTCTATTGGATATTTATGCCAGCTTGAACTACAATGGTGTGTAAATCACTGGCAAACTGACACATTTACAAACTGCCACTTATATTTCTCAACATGCACCGTCACACAACTGATATATGAGCCTCAACTCCTTAACTAGCAGAAATTCATTACAATAGCTTACAATATTATACTTCATCGTCGTTTAGTCGCATAGTCAAAGTTGCTTTGATGATGCTGTCCAACCATCTCACCAACATATTATATTTATGCCAGTGTATTTTAGCAATAGGACTCTGCCCACCCTAACATAGAACTAGATATGATTGTTGAATCAAAAAAGAAGAAGAAGAAGTCTTGTTGAATCAATGGAATTACATAAGTGGTGAATCACCAGAGATTCACTGATTTGACAGATACACTCTGGATGAGACTAATATACTGTATATACTATCACCTCATTAGCATTATACAGTACTTTCCTTCACTACTCCCAATAATTTGAATGTGCAACATGATGTTCTAATTAGCAAGCTAACTAGGTGTGGGCTGGATACAGCAAGTGTCAGGTTGATAAACAGCTACATAATTGTTGTCAGAGAATGCTTATCAATGACTCCTCAAACGGAGAAGGTAACAAGTGGGTTACCCCAAGGTTCAGTCCTGGGTCTGGTGCTCTTCCACATTTTTATTAATGATTTGGAGGAGGGAGTGCAGGGAATTAAATTTGCAGATGACAAAAAATTTGGTGGAATGGCTAACAGCTTGGAAGACAGGCATTGATAACAATATTATATTTGTTTTAATATCATACTTGAAGCAGTATGTGGACCGAGAACTCCCAGAAGCACAAGCTGGATTTTGAAGGGGCTGAGGAACTAGAAACCAAATTGCTAACATGCGCTGGGTTATGGAGAAAGCCATAGGGTTCCAGGAAAATCATCTGCTTCATTAACCCTGATTTTGCTGGTTCTGGGTCTGCTGGACAAGGGTCTCTTCAAATTGGGAGATGCACCGTCTGCCTCCATATTTATTAACTGAGAACAAATAGTTATAAAGAAATAATTTCTTTTCTTGGGCTAATTCAATAAGAATTTCCAAAAATCCAGGAGACTCTGAAGCATGCAAGGCTACTGGACCATACTTATATATCAACTGGTGCTGTATAATGGGGGTTACATTAATCATGAAGACTAATATAGGTTTCATTGATTTCAACATTTTAAATAGGACTAAGTCTGGATTTACTGCTTTAGTAACAAATACTGATGAGTATTACCATCAGAACCTGTAATAGTAGTGGTGTAGCACTGCATGAAATATGAGAAACTCACTTGCAATGCATATATGCCATCACTGAGTGTGAGGCAGAACCTGAAACAGAGAGGTCAATCAGACCAAGAGGTCTTAACCTCTTGTGGCTGAAATCCTGTTACTTGGTGTACTATGTCATGACTAGAATTTGCTCATTAAATCAATAGAACTTACAGAGGAATTCACTCATCAAATTCCCACTAATTCAATGACAATACTTTAGTTATGCTTCACTGCACTAAGCAAGAGGATTTCAATCACTGTTAATTACATTCAGAAGAAATTAATGATCCTATTAGCAAAGATAACATAAGTGACTTTGCAAAGAGAACAAACCTCAAAAAGTTCCAAGTTTAAGTTTATTGCATTAGCTAAAAGCCGTCACAATTGCTTAAAATACAAATATAATCGAATAAAATCAGAATAAAATCACGGAGATATAAAATAATAAGAGACTGTTCTTATCTGGGAGACAAACCTATCCATTTTGCAGGAAATCAACCCTGAGTGCTCACTGGAAGGACAAATCCTGAAGCTGAGGCTCTAATACTTTCACCATCTCATGAGAAGAGAAGACTCCCTGGAAAAGACCCAGATGTTGGGAAAGTGTGAAGGCAAGAGTAGAAGGGGACAACAGAGGACAAGATGGCTGGACAGTGTCATCGAAGCTACCAACATGAATTTGACCGAACTCCGGGAGGCAGTGGAAGACAGGAGGGCCTGGCGTGCTCTGGTCCACGGGGTCACGAAGAGTCAGACACAACATAACAACTAAACAACAACATACTTATTGCAGGTCTTTTTAATTAAGTTGTGGCCCTTTCATTCTGACTCTTGTCAGCCTTTAGGAAATGTGCAGTCATATGAAATTGGGGCTTGGTTTGCTTATTTAGTCTTTCCTCCACTATTCCCAACAACTGGAATGTGGTTTAGATTTTGGAAATTCCTGGTAGTTTGAGCTCTCATTTTATTTGCTGTCCATTCTTCTCAACGCCATGGACCCACTGGCATCATTTTACTCTTCACGTATCTGAAGACATTCTTTTGAAGCTTTCATGTTGTTATTAAGTGCTATCAAATTGCTTCTAACTTAAGGTACCCTGATACTGTTTCTTTGATATATGAGGTGATATATGGTTTATCATTGCCATCCCTAGTGATTTTCCATGGCTGAGAGGTGATTAGAACCCAAGTCTTGGTCTGACATTTTTCACAATGCAAACATTGGTTAACTCCGAAGTAAGATTCTATAATTTCTTTTGGCTTTTCATATAAAAGAGAAAATATATTTTAAGGAGGAGAAATTGTAGCATCTCTTCTTTCTGCTCTCCTAAAAGGTTAGTGTATGTTTTATCTATTTATTTAAATTATTGTTAACTTATTTAAATTACTGTTACCCCACATTTCTCCACAAAAGGACCTAAGGATGCTCGGGACTCAATTTGTTGTGTACTATCAAGTCGGAACAGACTTCTATCAACTATAATAAGAGTTTACAAGGTAAGCAAGATATTTTAAGGACTGGTTTTACCAGATCCAGCCCTTTAGCTAGTTTCCATGCCAAGGCAGGTTTGCTGACTCCCAGTCTCATTCTATACATTACTACACCATACTGGGTACCAATAGATTAGTAACAGGAATTTACTGCTTGGAATATTCATTGGACTATGCTTTGAATGCAGGCCCATTATACTTGATGTGTTTGAAAAACTTCCCATGCTTACCCACCCATTCTTCTCTTATAGAAGACATTAAGAACAGCACATTTATTTTGTATTCATGCAGATTCTTTCTGTCCTGTGTAAGAGATGAGAAGTAGGGCATTTTTTGATCTGGGGGAAATTCCATAGGGATTACACACCACTCTTAATGTTTCCCAAGGGAACAACAGCACAATGTATGAAACTGCAACATTATTTTAACTTACTAATGTTGGCTTCAGCAGCACATATTCTAAAATTGGAACAACACAGGAAAGATTAGTATGGTCTCTCTGCAAGGAAGACC